TTAAAGAGTCAATCACTTCAACATGTCAGGAGGTCCTTGGTCGCAAGAAGCACCATCACAAGGAATGAATCTATGTTGGTACTCTTGAAAAAATTGAAGAAAGGAGGAACATGAAGGCAGCAGTGAATGTCAGCCAAACAAGAGCAGAGAAAGTTAAGGCGCAAGCTGAAAACACAGAAGCAAACAGGGTAGTGAAGAAGAGCATCAGAGCTTACAAAAGAAAATATGTGGAAGATCCAGCAATGACGGCGGATAAAGCTGCAAGAGACGGAAACTTGAGAAGATTGTACGAAACAACAAAGAAGCTCGCCGGGAACTATTGTAAACCAGAACGACCAGTGAAAAGCAAGAAAGGGAAAGTAATCAGCAACACTGAAGAACAGCGGAACAGATGGGTAGAGGATTTCTGAGAACTCGTGAATAGACCAGCTCCACTGAACTCACCAAACATCGAAGCAGCATCTACGGACATCCCAATCGATGTTCGCGCACCTACAACTGAGGAGATCAGTATGGCCGTCAGAAAAATCAAGAGCGGCAAAGCAGCAGGTTGCTTACTCTCACCCTTTCTCTTTCTCCTGATGATCGACTGGATTATGAAGACATCGATATCTGGAGGGAAGCACGGTATCAGCTGGACAGTTAGGACGCAGCTGGACGATCTGGACTTCGCAGATGATCTGGCTCTTCTGTCGCACACACAACAACAAATGCAAGAGAAGACGACCAGTGTAGCAGAAGCCTCTGCAGCAGTAGGTCTCAACATACATAAAGGAATACGCGAAATTCTCCGATGCAACACAACATGCACCAACCAACTCACTCTTGATGGAGATACCTTGGAGGACGTTAACACATTTAAATATCTGGGCAGCATCATCGACGAGAAAGGTGGATCCGAAGCAAATGTGAGGGCGTGGATCGGCAAAGCAAGGGCAGCATTTCTACAATTGAAAAATATCTGGAACTCCAAACAACATTCAACCAAAACCAAAATTAGGATTTTCAATACAAATGTCAAGACATTTCTAATTTATGGAACCGAAACTTTAAGAACTACCAAAGCCATCATCCACAAGATACAAGTGTTTATTAACAGTTGTCCACACAAAATACTTCGGATTCGTTGGCCAGACACGATCAGAAACTACGTTCTGTGGGACAGAACAAACCAGATTGAAGTGGAGGAGGAAATCAGGAAGAGTCGAAGTAAGTGGATAGGACACACTACAAAAAGCACCTGAATGCGTCACAAGAGAATCCTTCACATGGAACCTTCAAAGCAAAAGTAAAATAGGAAGGCAAAGGAACACATTACGCCGAGAAATAGAGAAAGATATGAGAGGAATGAACAAACATCGGACAGAACTGGAAAGGGAATCCCAGGACAGAGTTGGCTGGAGAAAACTGGTGGGCGGCCTATGCTCGATTAGGGGTAACAAGCCTAAGTATGTGGGTAAGTAGGTGCTCTATATACTGACCAGATAACAAGACTACTTTCGATATTCATTCGCAGAATAAACATATTTGCATGTTTGATATTACTACTGATGCACTTTTGCCAACAGCTATTGAGGGAGGTTTTAAGAACAAACAGAGTTTGCAGTGATCACTTAGTTATTTACGTCTGTCACCCTAATGGAGCATATGTCGCCGACCAGCATTCTTTAACATTTCCTGTCCTGGGACTTCCTTTTAAGTTCTTTCCAGTTGCTGTCTCCAGTTCGTGTCGTATTGTGTTTTCTGGTCTTCCACTTCTCCTTTGACTTCAAGGACTTGTCTTGTGATGCAGTTAGGTGATTTCTGTAACAGGTATCCTATTCACCTCAGATGGTCTTGCTGTTTCCCTATATATATTGCGACGTTTTTCTACTAAAACGGCCGTCCAAAACTGCATTTGTCGCTGTGTATGGGATGGAATTTCAAGATAATATGCAAAGTCCAAATTGTTCATATGTATCCTAGCTGTTTTATTTAAACCATACTTCCTTTGAAATGTCAATATCTTCGTTAAGTTTTCCTACATACACTATCATTCCTTGAACTTAAATGAAATAATCAGTACTACTTATGTTAGTGAAAATAGGTACATATGATACAGAACAACGTAATTCAGTTTAATGGTTTCAACATTTTATTACACCCTACTTTTCTCTGTTCAAATGAAACTCGAAGTAAATGAGTAGATTTCAGGTCATGAATATAATCAATCACCTTACGTAAATCAATGAATTTGAGGTACTTGAAATAGAGAAATGTAAGGACATGGAATTATCAAATGAGTTACATTCTCACCTAGACAGCCTAATTTTATTCTGTTGAGGTCATCAAATTCAGAATTGATGAGTGAATGTCTGCAAAGATATTACTCTAATTATTCAGCAGTATTTGTTGAATCAATTTATCTATTCATATTTCCATCTATACATCACTTTCTTGTTAATCAATGTTAGTTGAACTAGAAAAGTGAATATTTCCCTCCAAATCTGATAATTTTTCAATGACAAACATACGCCAGCCATTGTTGAGAGTGTGAGCTGATAATTTAAGCTGTAATATTCTTTCGAATTCTCTTATTCTATCTGAAGACAAATCAGTTGTTTCGCTGTTATATAAATTGTTGAGTAGAATTTAGCTCAAACTGAAATAAAGAAGTTATTGTGGATGAATGAATTATGTTCAAGGAGCAAACCTAACACTACAATGCGTGAAAGCTGTCGAAGTGGGTTTAACGCTACGGAATACTCTGCAATAGGCATCCGTAGATTAGTTCGTGTTTATCAACCATGTAAAGCACATTAGATAATATTGTTTACACAGCGAATAAAAATCAACCATCAGATTGTTCAAGGTAGCCCAGTCTGAAGAAATATACAACCCGAAGATTTGTTCTGACAAAATGAATACCTTATATAAGCGACCGATTATCTGACCAGCAATAATTGATTATGATCGTGTCGTTGTTTGTGTTCATTAAAAAGTTGACGCGAAAATTTTAGGTTAAATCAGCACATCTGGGCGTTTTGTTAACTACCACCTTGTACAATAAAAACTATTTAAATGAACGCTCAGCAAAAATATTCCAAATCTCCCAGTCTCTCACCTCGTAACTGTAAGCTTTCCATTTATAACAGATATGATTTCTCATAATTAAACTCGCGTTTATTTGGACGTCACAAGCAGAATAACCATACCCCTTGATGTATACAATGTCCATACAATGACTTCAAATTATGAGAAAAAGTGACATTCAACTAACCAGTTGCAAAAGTCAGAAGATACACACTGGTGCCATAGGTAATCAGCGAAACACCCTGGTCGGATGGAAAACACTAGCTGCAGCAGACATGCGTCATACGCACAATGAGTTGCACTGATGCTGTCCAAACAAGCATCCAAAAGCATTGATAGGATGGATATCAATGAACACGTGCATTGCAATAAACATCATCCATTGCTGTGCCACTACCAATGATAACGATGTAGATGATAAAGATTAATTCGATTAGAGGCTGTGGTTAATCGTTGAGAAATGCTCAATATTGCATTTCACTACTCTGATGATAGACCTAAAGACCAAGTATGAAATAGGCAACATTGGATTGAAGACATCGTTGAAAGACATATACTGTAAGGAAGCAGTGAAAATGATGTGTTTGCCAACCTATGTATCTTCAATAAACTGGTCTCTGGGGGCACCGTATGTCTACACAAGTACACATGCATTTCACCGGATCACACTACACAGAATCACATCGAGCGCATCGGCAATCAAGTTTCGCTAGAAGGACCATGGAGAAAGTGCGAATGAACTGACAATTTCAGATAATCAGACAACAATCGGAAAATCAGTTATCATTAGGAAACAGTGAAACATAATTGATAACTTGATAGATTGCTGCAATACGATTATTTTACTTGAAAATTCATACTTTATTTTAGTTCACTGGTGAGACAAAATGGTGTGGAGTGTCATTGTCTTGTTTTAATTAAATTCGGATTTGGTAAGTGTCATTTTAAAATATACTCAGTTTCTCAAAAAAGCATCATCACAGAAAATATTGTTTAACAATTTCTAATGCAAACGGTTTGTTGAAAATTCATTATTCTTTGAGTATGTTGGTTAGTTAGTCACTGATGCAACAGTTCATTTCAAATCAATGTCATCATCAATGAATAAATATGTTTAAAGTAGGTGAGATTAAAAATTAAAATTTATTTTTACTAAGTGTCATTGAAAAATTAAACACATTCATAATCAAGGTAATTAATAAACACAAACACTTTTCCAATGTATACAATTCGTGTTCAACATAATCATTTCATAATTATTCAATGTTTTTTGATTGTATGTTGCGAAAGACTCGATTACTATGGGATGCATAAGTCGAAATAAAACAGAAACATAAAAAAGATATTCAGTATGGATGCTAACAATGGAAGAGTGTAATTTCGAGTAAAAGTAACTATTTTCAAGCGGTCACATATCAATTCGTATGAACTGTAACATGGAGGCTATTATATTTGTTTTTGCAAGTTCACTCACATATTTTGTACGGGCCTGTCACTCCTCATCGTGTGAGTTATTTTCGAAAATTGTTCATTATTCTATATATGTACATATTCTATATGTGGCTCGTATACGTCACGTGTATGATACTTCCATGTTTCTGCCGCGCATTATTGACATTCCTAATACCTTCTGACTGATATGCTATTTGGCAATGTTTCACGTGACATTTGTTATTGCCTCAGGTACTGGCCGTAAACGTCAAAAGAATGAATAACACTGGTAAAATGGACAATTACTGCCATCATTGAAACTAGTGTGATCGATGTCAGAAGGATCATTCAAAAGCTTGACTTGTGGAGTTTTATATTTTGGCTTCACATGATTGTACTGATGTTTATTGTGTGTTGACTTTCCCATGGTCGAGTACAACTGATTTCAGAGCACATCTCTTCCATTTTCACTAAGCTGGACTAGATGCTTCCTACGGTGAATATGAAGAGTGTATGGCATTGGACGTTCGTCATCTTCGAAATTGCATACACTGCCGTCTTAAAGATCGCTACTAGAGAACGCGAATCTCTGAAACTGTTGTGAGCCTAAATATAGTATTTCTGCCTGCTCGGCTACATTAAGTAAGTATTAACTGGTCAAAAACTTAGAATGCTTGCTGCTTATACGCAAACTGCACTGGATATAACATGTAATCTGATGAAATCAGTGTAATGCCCTAAAAATTAGCGATTTCTGAGGAACCTATTCCAGGTGAAAAAAATGTTACCATTTTCAGATTTCGGCTTGATTTAGCATACGATGTCTTGGATTGACTGATAAACCGTTATGTCTCTTGATTTTTGATTGACCTGGATACGTTTGTTCTAAAAATTCGCTAGTGATCTTTGCGGTACGCTTATCTAGTAGTTCTGGATCTTTCATAACAATCTGATGTCCACAGTTTTCGTAAGTATTGATATAATGAAAGCATTGTCAACTAGGATCCACAAACACATCAACATCGACCCAACTTATCTACAAATCAGAAAATCCATAGGCAAACATGGGATTGAGAAAAAGATAGACAGATCGGGAAATACGATCAAAATAAAGATGCTAACAACGACAGGTTTAAGAACAATAACAACTAATCAAGATTGAGGTTTAGAGAAAAATTCACTTTCATCTAAATTTTGTTCTGACGATGTTGTTCACAGTTACAATGGAAGCTCCATAAACAAAACGTTCATCTCAGAAAACGATACTGTACCCCAATTATTAATTTGAGCTACAAATTTTCTCCACCATCTCACAACCTGTTGTTTGAGAGGACAGACGAGAATAACGGCGAGGAAGAAATCAAGAAGACGCTTTGTGTGTTGAATGGAAACACATTGAGGAAAGCACACAAATGCCTCACCAAACAGGCACTCACCTGTCATCCTCGAGACCAGAAAACACGGTACACCGAGGAATACAGAAAGACATTAGAAGAATGAACAGAAATGAAATAGAATTGGGATGGATGACCTTGTAGAGTGTAGGTCCGAGAATACAGGTGGGCGGGTTCGCATTGATAGGGGTAACAGGCGTAGGCAGGTCGATAGGTCTTTGAGTTATTTCGCGATCGTTCGTGCACATTCAAATCGCTACCTTATAATTCATAACCAATAGTTATGCTTACATAAACATTTGTGATTGGTTAATTGTTCAATTCATGAGTATAAATTATCATGTTCATCAAAATAATTTATCCAAACACAATAGAACATTAGGAGTAAGTTGTTCAGTTGAACATTTATGATGAAACATCGTCTATAATACAGTGTTTATGAATTAGGCTTTCCATCCATTTACTTAACTTCATCAAAGGTCAAGAGATTTTGAGCTTACGATATTATTCTCGATTGTAAGCATTCTGTATGTCTTTAATATTTATGTAATATGTATTGTAATCTACTCACTCAGTACCAATTCAATTGATCAATTCAAGAGTAGATCAACACATAAATGATTTTCTTGACACTTGAATCTGTGTATATATATGAAAATGTGAAAGCTATCAAGGTGATTTCTAAGTCAGTGATCATAATGAAACATATTGCATAATTCAATCGTCGATTACATACATTAATCCATTGAAAATCATCACCAAATAAATGGTGAAATGTGAAAGAGAGCAATGCACACGGGTAGATACATTGAAATTTTACAAGCTAGCGAATAATATATTAAACTGATAGACAGTTTGGCATCAAAATATTTAAATCCTGTTAATGTCATCAGTTTTTTGGAAAATCTATTGTTTGTTGAATAGTACATGATTTGAAATGAAATGCAATGGAATCAGTTTAATTGAACTAATTATTTTTAAAACAATTTTTAATTCAATATTTATTTCCTATTCTAAGAACTATACAAATAATGTGATATTATCCAAGATTATATCAATTGTAGGCATGATGTTACAACTATTCAAATTGAATATTATTATCATTGTTATCTTATCGGCGATATTGAACACACTGAAAGTCGAATCATCCACATTTTTTGCACCAATTAATTTTGACGAGCAAGGTAAACTGATCGGTCATTCGTACCTATTATTATTATTATTATTATTATTATTATTGTTAACATATATTTTATCGTTTGAATAAAATGCGTAAAGTTATTTATTGTATTTGCAATTTCACTGTTCCATATCATCTCTTATTGTAATCATTTCGAAAATTTGTTTTGATTTTATATACTTCAGGTAATATGTATGTTAAAATAAATGAAGAGAGTTTTTCAATTGATGGAAATTATATGTTAACAATAAATAGTGGAAATTGCATTAAAACAATATCTTTAACACCACCGACGAAAGAAGAAATAGCCAGTAAATCAGGATATCGTGAAGTGACCAAGTAAGTTCTAAACATGATCTAACTGGTTCATCATATTGACGTGATAATAAAATGCGTTTATATTATAAAAGTAAAACTTGATAATCTGGAAAGTATTTCAAGTGAATATTACAGTTGATATAATTTACCTTCATACTAACGACTGTTACACATTGTAGAGTATAGGTCACTGACCTAAAATCTACATTTTGCTCTGTCCTAAATCCTACACTATTGATGTGTTCTGCATTCATTCCATCGTGATTAGATTTCATTTTACGGAGCCTTAAAAAATTGAATATGAGGCATTTAAAAATAATATATCAGTCAAAAGGTACTTTGGGTTATGAATAATGTATGCGAGAAAGATATGGAAAAGTCGAACTTGAGTCGAAAATAACTTTCAAGATATGTCACGAGTGTCAGGATCATGACCAAAACATTTGGGTGAACGTTGCACTTCCAAACGAAAAATATCAGTACTGTATCTTCGTAAAATCGGAGCCACCATGAAACAGTTCATATGGTTAGATATGAAGCCAATGAAAAATTGTTTTTTTTTACTAGAAACCTCACTCTTCCATTGCCAGCATTCATACGAAATTTCTGTGTATGTTTGCGTACAATTTTAGCTTGTGCATCCCATGAAGATCGTGGCATTTGCAAAATATAATCAACGAATACTGAATAATTATAAATATGAATATATAAAACATGAGTTGTATTCACTGGAAATGTGTGTGTGTTTAATTATCATACTTGCGAATGTGATAGATTTTCAATTACGCTTAGTAAAATAAATTGTAATAAATTGTTGCCTTCCGGTTCTTCCCTTCTTCAATCTTATTTGCATGATCGGCAGAGATCCGTTCATTGCGATAGTGTTTGTTGTGGTTAATTACCTCAATCAATGTTGACGTTAATTCCTCCTTGATTCCTTCTCAGTTGTTCTACATGTTTGTTTCAGTTAAATTGTGTGAATGGTGACAGGCTTGGAACCTGTTGAGTTTGCCTGTGTCCCGCAGACAGTTGCCTTCAACTTTAATGAAACTGTCCGGACCGTTGTCCAATGCTCTTCAAATCTGTCTGCCATTTAGTCCACCACTATATGATGATCTGAAACTGTCAGCTCCCCTCTTCGTTCTCACATTCTTCACGGTCCTTCTGAACATTGTTTTGAAGGAGTTGTAGTAGATGTGGTTCTGTGTAGTGTGATCCGTTAAACCAATGAGGAATTGTGTAAGCGTTTGTGTCTGATTACGGTGCGTCAGAGACCAGTTTGTTGAGGACGCCTAGGTTTGTAAATCTCTCACCATTTTCACTGTTTCCCTGCAGCACATGTCGTTACACTATGTCTTCTAATCCGATGGTGTCCATTCAAACCGTGGCATTGGGGCCTCCAATCAGAGTTATAAAATCCAATGTTGTGCATTTCCCAATGATTGACTACAGCCTCTTATAGAATTGAACTTCATCTTCCTCATTATCATCATTGGTAGTCACATAGCAATGGATGGATTTCATTGCAATACACTAATACTTTGTTTTGAAGGATGCTTTGACGATACTGTGTTCAACGTTTCCCACCCTGTTTCATAAAATAAATTTTAATTTTTTTATGTCACTTTCTTCCTATTTATTTATATATTTCTGGGTATTAACATGACATTGAATAAAGCTTTAGCATGAATGACTAACTAACTAACAATAGTCAAGAGTAAAAAATGGTAAGAAATTGTTTCCAGTCCAGTTTCGTTACACAATATTTCTTATAGTGAGGTGGTTCTGGAAATGCAATAAATTAAAATGGCACTTACATAGTCGAAATTCAATGAAATGCTATGACAGACAGACAGACAGACAGATATAAGGCAGAACTTTGTATGTAAGTACATCATTCCAGGTTGCCATACTACATCAGCACAGAGATGTAACTGTCAGTTAAAATCCAAGAGTGATAGCCATAGTAGAATGGAGAAGATTAGGGAGAGAAGATATGATTCGAGAAGTATAATTCAGTAAGATAAATTTAGAAGGAGGAAGGTAGATATTATGAGGAATTCAAAAGGTTGGAATAACAGAGAACACAAAGAGCTGATGCGCCTGCGCCATTGCAAACGATTTTGAGCCATGTCGTTCAAGGTCTCTAACCATTGGTGACTTTCGTCTCGCGGACGCTAACCAGGTAGCCTCCATCTACCAACATGACTCAGTCCACTTGTCATTGACTTCATGGATTTTTGCCATGTTTTGGTTTGGCCACCCCTAGCTTTCTTCCAACCTACTCCTACACCACAAAACATAGCTCGTCGAGGCAGTCGGTGGTTAGGGCAATTGTAACACATGTCACAGCCACAATCGTGGTTAAGGTAATTGCAACGCTCTCGGAAATATGAACAGAAATTTGTTTGTTTGACTTTCCAATGTATGCAACTTTCACTGAGACCAATGGGTGCAAAGTTTCCAAATAGTGCAACAGCTAGGCGTATGACTGTCACCAAACTTCGTTCATAGTGTATCGACCGATTTGCCTTATAAGCTTTCCGGATGCACACCATTTTATAGCAAGACGCTTAGTATATCCAGTAGGTCAAAGATGTTTCAATGAGTAGAGTAGCTGAATGATACGCTCTTATACTTTGTGTGTCAGCTAATTCAACGAAATTTACACGTTAATTTGTTGGTGGATAAAATGCACAGCTAGATCTAAATCCATAGTTACGGCTTTGATAAGTGGCCGCTTGCGTAACGTTATTCAATTTCGGCGTACTGATTTTCGGTGTGCAATTTGTTGACACCTATCTTCAGGTCATCAATTTGTTCACATTTTAGTATGACAAAAGTAACCAGTTCCTATACTATCACTGATAAATAAGTTTGAATAAATTCAACTTCACTACCATTACCACTCTGATATTACATTTTCAATTGTGTTCGACTTACTTAACTTTAACAGCTGGGTGTACACTAAAAGAATCTGCAAGGTGTAAATATTTGGGAGCTCTGTGTTTAGCTTTCCATTATCAAGACCAAAACTTCTGAGATATTCATTTGGCAAACTTTACCTCAGTGCGTTTTCATGGTCAACTACCAATGGCTGCTCCACGTATGCCTATGCCATAGTCTTATGTAGCATTAAACCCAGTTATACAGCTTTCGCTCATTTTTCTCCAACCACGTTACATCCATTATACTATACCTAACTATTGAGTGTGCCAGACCATTGACCACATTACATCTTCAGCGATAGAATCTGATCAACATTTGAAAGTAGAGAACATGAAATTGGTTACTATTCAGTGCACATCTGTTGCATTTTCATCGTTCTGGAAGAAATGGTTTCCATGTTGAATATGAAGAGTGAGCAACGGAGTTCAAATGTTCCACAAACTTCTCATGTAGATAGATATGTGCTAGTGATGACGTAGGCAAGAAGCAGTGACATTTTATTCAAATACAAATCCGAATCAGTTTGATTGGTAAACGTAAGAACAATACTGATAATAATAACAATAATAGTCATACAAATGATTACAATGTCAATACTGACAATAAGAAAATTTTCATTATAGGGGGTGTGAAGATTGGTAAGTTACACACTTTTGAAACCATGAATCGATCAATGTTAGACCACCATTAGAAACCTGGAAGCACAGGACGGCCGTTTCGTCCTGGTATGGGACTCCTCAACAGTACGTATCCACGACTCCTGCATCCCGCAGGATTCGAACCCAGGACCTTCGGTATTGTGCGCGAATGCCCTAACCGTTAGACCACTGAGCCGGTATCTAACAGTGTTAATGTCTAACTTGATCAAATTCACGGAGTTGTGCAACCTCATACACAGTCTTCGGTAGACACTGCCTACACCCGAACAGGTTGAACTTCACTGGTCACGTCTTCCCACTAAATAACTCGGAGAAGATTCCTCACGAAGCTAGTCACTAGTCAGCACAGGTAATTTTAATTACAGGGGTTGTGAAGATTGGTAAGTTACACATTTTTGAAACCATGAATAAAAAAATTGTAAAATTGATGACTGAAATTGCTAATCACATGTAGTTTGCCATATTACATTCTGGACATACAAATATCGTTTGTAATTGTTCCACTATTTAACTGAACAAATGCATTGAAAGTTCAACCACTGATTGTGATACTTTGATAACACTTCATTAAAAACTAACTTTGATAAGACTGAGTGGTGACACTACTACTCAAACTGAAAGAATTACTCAAAACACTATGCATTTGAACATGACAAAGATTACCAAAAACAATCTTAGCCAATATCAGAATGATAGACGGAATTATGTTTGTTTTATCATCCAAGCGTGTTTAAAGATATGAGATTGTACATCATTCCAAAGAAATGCATTAGCAAGAGATATCTATATTGAAACAATTATTCAAGTTTAAAATGCAGTTCAGTTTTAAATTAAGATAAATGTAACTGTGTTATCTGTAAGTGGTTGATGATGTCACTGTGAAAGGTTGAAAAGTGTGATGGAGTGATCATACTCTGCGGAAACGTAATCACTGAATTTCTTGCACCGTTTAACATACTCATAATGAAACTCATTCTCATACTTAAGTAATTCGAGTGGACTCACTTCAGTGGTGAACGAGTCGAGATTGACTCTGATCATACACACTAAATGTTCCATACTATCCCGTCACATAAATCAAAATAAATCCATGTTTGAATATTTTGTTGAAGGAGAAAGTAAGCATTACACAGAGAGCAGCACGTTATGAAAAATGGCAGAGATGCGAAAAGAACGTTGCGTACAAGAAGTGTTTTTTTGGTACAGTTAAACAAAACAAGTACAAGTATTTTTCACCAATCGCGTTTTCTTCGTACAAGTGTTTCATTACATCCCTATGCTTAGTTTCGAACATTATCAAATGAACAGTAAAGAAAAATTCCGCTAATCCATTGGACCAAGTAATTCTACAGATTGTCGGTTATGTCAAATGGTGACGTTTTCTACTGGTATGAGACTCATCGACAATGTGCATCTCAAATCGTGCTACTCATGTAATTCAAAACCACCACGACCTTCAGTCATGCATGCAAACGCTTAACCTATGAAATAAGCTTATTAACGGTTAAAACTATTGATATGAACCGCAGTTGATTGAAAGTCATTATCAACTCTTGAAGTATTTATCGGGTTGTACTACTGAGTACAAATAGATATAAATATACTTCTTTCAGATCCTAGTGTGAAGACGAACTCTATAGCATTGAAATAAAATCAGTCCAGATTAATCCATCTAATAAAGACGTCAAATTTTTAATAAACACAAACAACGACTGGATCATAATCAATTATTGCTGGTCAGATAATCGGTCGCTTATGTAAGGTATTCATTTTGTCAGAACAAATCTTCGGGTTGCTAATTTCTTCAAGTCTTGTCGCGACCTACGTCAACAGTTCTTATTTACTTAGTGATAAATTAGTTCAGATCAATCAGACTCGGCTACCTTGAACAATCTGATAGTTGATTTTTATTTGCTGTGTAGACAAAAGTCATCTGCAACATGAGAATGTTGAGTGGTCTGTCTAACTTTCCAACATTAACACCAACAATACTGTGATAATCATTTAAACAATATTATCTAATGTGCTTTACATGGTTGATAAACACGAACTAATCTACGGAT